GCTCTCATCAAAACTCCTTGAAGAGTTTTTAGAATCAATTCCTGATGGATCAAAAACGAACTATCCATCATGTGAAGACAATGTTGATACATCCTCTGTAAATTCTTGTACTGTGTTTTCAAATGAAAGCGCAAATCAAGATATAATGTCGGTCTCGAGTTAGGCATCTCATCTCACCCTGATGAATTTGGTTCCTACAAAACCATCCTCTGTCTGTAATATGAATTGAACAAATGTTCAGATGATAACTGTTTATTGACTGTATCCCAAGACCATGCTTTGTAATTAGACTCAAGAATCCTTGAGTAAATCTTATGTAATATAGGTACAGATATAGGCATCAGAAGTATTTAGGAAGATACTTATGGAACTTTCTCCTTCGCCCTCATGATCAACAAGGAGTTATGCAGTCTTGAACATATATCACTGCATCACAATAATCAAGCTCAATATCAATATTACCAAAGATCTGATAATGATATTTCTGACTTCTCGGAAATGAAGTCGATGACAAGTTTCCACAAGTGGCAGCTGATACAACTGGCAACATTACGATGTTTCTAAAAAAATGATGAAAATGCATGATCTACGTCTCAGTAGTTTCTCTCCTATCCTGTATTACCATTCCTCCACGGAAGTCCGAGATTAGTATAATTTGACCCATATTTCAGTACCCATGTTTTGTTCAGATATTTATTATGAAACCATATAGGCTCTCGCGTTCCCTGCTATGAGATTGTGGCATTTTTTTCAGTGTTTCCCTAATTTCACTCTGACATTCCCTCTTCGATACGATTGGAAAATCAGCAATCGCTGCGTACATACCCCACGAAAATCAGACATGGCATCTTTTTCCCCTGGGGGCGACCTTCCCTTGTAACGTCCCTTGCAACTCAACGAGCCAGAGCTTGCAACTTTACAGATTCCCTTGTTTTATTCAATGAATACAAATAAAAATGCAAACCGAGACTGGCACGTGACCAAAATCTAGATGTTTATGTGGATCGGTACTCTGGTGGTTGATAAATCCATATTATAAGCAAAGTGAGTTATCTTGGAATATAAATATCATTGAGAGACAAGTCGCACTATTTCGATAAATACAGCCATTGATTGATAATACATTTTCAATATAACTATGTACCTGTAAGTCCCCAGCTGAGATGTTAAAGAATAGAATAATGAACTTTGTTCAGAATGAATACATGAATGTTGAAATTATTCTGGGATTGGAAACAATTCGAAAAACAATTCCTAAGTGAGATTCCATTGGAACCAATTCGAGGAAAAAGAATTTATATATTTCACATAGGTACATAATGAATTCAATGAACAGAAATACAAATATCTTGATATTTTCTATGTTGAAGGATAAACATACTGATAAAAGATACTGAATATCACATGATATGTGGAATGAAAAAAAAACAGAAACTCATTCAACAAAAACATATGGAATGAAGTGAATAAATACTAGAATCAGTTGAAAATGGTGGAAACAATATCTTGGTATATTGCTTCTGTTGCAGAAATTGCATTGGCTTCTCCTCTTAAGCTTCTCTCCTTGGCTCTCCTGAAGAATTTCTGCAAAGCTTCCTCAAAATTATTCTTTGATCACCAAAGTCTTCGAATGATCCCGCAACCGGAACATATAGCGGATGAATTGAAGATGTTAAAACTGATTAAAACATGGCGTCTAGAATAACATTTGGAAGTAGGTACCATTCGTGACATATTTGCGTCCTTGTAAAAAAAGTTGTCCTTGTTCCATACCAGGTGAAAGATGTTTCATTGATCATGGTTTTCTTCACAGAATCGAATGGTGTATGCCATCCTATTTTTCATTTCTCTTGAACCTGAAACATTAGAAATATAAAGTTTTAGCACCTGATGATTCATTCAGACAAATCTCCAGTACTCGAAACTCATTGATCGAGACAACTTCAAGAGTTTGATCTGCTGTACTTGTGGAAGATAATGTCATGTAATTGTCATCATTAACAGCCCTTATTTCACTGGTGGAAGTCCTACTTACAAGGTTCTGATTATTCATCTCTCCTTTCAAGTTTTTTTGCTATCTTATAATATTTTATCATCAATGTTCGTTTTTTCTCATGCCTAGGCGATACCTTCTTCTTAGGATCCATTATAATAATATGTATACGACCTCAAAACAGTTGTGATATGAACATTTTTGGAACTTGAATTCTAGTTGGTTATGTGTATACAGTGTGTCTCACGTCTGATGGAAACACCCCTGTATCTTACATATTCGTTGGGTAAGGATCCTGAAATTTGCTGGAGCAGGAGATATACCAAAAATGTACTCTGTGACAAAATGGAGTCATCTTCAGTGATATACACTGCTCGCCAACAGTCATGAAACCACCCCAATTACCAGAAAATGATAATAGGAGGCAAACTAGATTGAAAATCACTTCGGATTCGGAATCAGGACGCCGAATACAAAGTTTAATGAAATAACAATCTGAACTAGTACAATCAAATAGATTATCAGGAGTGATCCAATGGATCAGAAATCATGACGGGTGTCATTGAAATGGATAATGAATGAATGCATTTGTTAATAGTTTGAGAAAATAATGATAATAATGCTTCAACCAATAGGAAGTTGATGAATGGGACGGCCTGTTTTCGAATCCGAAGTGATTTTCAACCTATCTTGACTCTTCATATATTTTCCGGACATGTGTGTAGTTCCACGAGCGAGCAGTGTATATTACTGGAGATGACCCCACTTATTCATAGAGTATATTCCCAACAACATATAATCTCCAAAAGTTCAAAAAAAATCCAATACCTACCTCCTGTCCCTATCCTCCCTAGGAACGCACGATGTTCTTTGAATATTATAGGAATTCCCTTTCGTGCGCTCCAAGCGATGAGAAAAAAATATCTCTCGCTCCAGCAAATTTCAGAATCCTGACTAAACGATTACGTAAGATACTGGGGTGTTTCCATGAAAAGTGGGACAAAAATGAATTTTTCAGAACAGATAAATTGTCAGGGAAAATATGAATAGTCAGTGAATGGGGTGTCCTGACTCCATATATGTAGTGATTTTCAACCTATTTTGACTCCTAATATCATTTTTCGGAAATTAAGGTGGTTTCATGACTGTTGGCGAGCATTGTTAATCACTGAAGATGACCCCACCTGGTCGTAGAGTGCATCTTTGGTATATCTCCCGCTCCAGCAAATTTCAGGATTCCTACCCAACGATGACGTAAGATACCTAAGTGTTTCCATTAGAAGTGAGGCATACTGTATAGTTTAGGTTATTTTCACTGCTGAACAACGTTAGAATAATTCAGATTTGACCAAGTTTCTGTCCAGTTTAACCTGAAACTGGAGCAGTTCATTGAATCGAATTCTATGGAGTCGTGTATCATTGATTTTATATTGTCTTTGTGGACATCACATAACAATTCTGACCATATCTTCCACAAGAATTCCCTCTCTTGTCAGTGTTAATAATCAATGACGCAATCACCGCAATGAAAGAGCGAATCAGAACTGACGCTATCTATTCGATGGTTTGTCAGCGAAAGCGATGAGTCATCAGTTTTATGCAATTACCGCTAGATGATATGTCATCTATTCCTAATTTCTGTCAGAGCCCCATTAATGGACGTTGGAAAGCAAACACAATGCCAAAGTGGACGCAGCCAGAGTGGAACTCATTATTGTAATGAAACGCTTCTGTTCCGGGCGATTCAAAGAGAAGAAGAATTGTGTTAGATCTGTGATGACGTAGCAGGACGTAGTCGAGGGTCTCAGACATAAGTTATCTCTCATTTCCCGCAGCGTCAAACCGTTTTAGTGTGATATCTTCTCTATTAGATTTTGGTTTCAATCAAATTACGATTGAAACCTAAAGGTATTTGTTTTTGGAAATGCCAAACATCACATAAATCCATAGATGTTTTTAATTGAAATGGAAATACAATGCCTGCTGTTACTGATTTTTCCTACAAGAGGAAAAGTAACCCTTCAGCACCATCTTACTTTTCGATAAATCTATGAATTCGTGTGGGAAAACAACTTTTTCTACAAGCGTGCGTGATTCACCCTATACCCGCACGCAATTTAGTTTGGGAAGTGTCATTTTCCCGCAACAGTGCGGGAAAATTTTCCCACACTAGTGCGGGAAATTTTTTTCCGCGCTAGTGCGGGAAAACAAAGATATGATGAAATCGCTAGTAATATAAGTGGTTGGTGATGGAATATAAAAGTTTAAGTTTGTTTGTTGCAGTATTAAGTATGTATGTTCAGAATCATCCATCAAATTGCACTATTTATTGTGAAAATTAAGAAATATTGAGAAATAAAAATTGATTATTATAAAAATCCCCCTATAGATTTGGATCGATCTGACGGGAAACGTCAATTTGTCATGCCAATCAAACCTCAAATAAGTTTGAAATTGTCGAAGTGACAGACACAGCGTTACTGTCATTTTCGATTCAGTGGAAATGCCACAATGTGATCAAAAACTTCTAGCTAAAGGGATTTGATACAGATGCGTTATCACCAACGAAGTCTTAAGAAAGGTATGAGAAGCTATACACGCGTTTTATTGAATGGTGCAACAATAATAAAGAAATGAAAACACCGAATGAAGAATATAGGTATTTTTGCTCATTTCATAGAAGTGTCTGGAACCTAGAGACCAAACTCCTAATGACCTAATGGGCCTGCTGGCTTCCGCAATGAACCAACATAATGCGTCGAACTGTAAGTTCACAATAGCTATTATTAATAATCAATAGATAGAGAATTATAATATATCTCTTGTTAGTTGGTCCTTTGATTCACGATTCAAGATGGCGAGTGGAACGAGCGTACTTTCAGAGCTCTCTCAGAATATTAATCAAAAGTGTCTAAAATGCAATAGGAAAGTGGCTAAAGGTGTGAAATGTTGTCTGTGTCAGTCAACCCTACATCTTAAATGTGCTAGTGTAGAAGAAAATGCAGAGATGACCGAATTCAAGTGCGAGCAATGTGATATGCCCGAGGATGATTTCCATGATGCCATGGAAGATATCACCAACACTGGCAAGTTTAATCCAAAAATGTTTATTTACATAGTTAAACAAAAAGACAATTTGATATTTGAACTGAAAGATAAAATCCGAATTCTTAATACTCAAATTGAATTATTGAATAAAATCAATTCCTTGACATATTCCAAAAAGGACATCGACAATACCAAGCAATCTGATTGCAAAAAAATTGAAGATAACAACTCGATAAAAAGTGTATCGACACACGAACCCAGCGTCAGTAAAAACTCAGGAAATCATCGGAATGAAGAAACACCAAAGATAAATACGAGAAATAAAATTACAACTGGACAGCTGTCCAACGAACTATTAAAAATCGAAACGGAAAGAAAATGCCAAGAGGTTATCAACTTAGCATCGCTGGATAGATCGCCTCCGTTGGATAATTTAGCATCAAATGAATCGAATTCGTGGACAGAAGTGAGGAAAAAGAAACATAGTAATAGAAGGAGAATAGTTGGAAACAATCGAGAGGATACTGTAAAAGGTGTACCAAAACAGGTTGAATTACATGTCTACAGGGTGGATAAAGATACATCTATTGAATCTTTCACTGATTCAGTGAAAAAAAATTTCCCAGAAGCTGAATGTGAATCGCTGAACTCTAAACATCCTGATTCGTATAAGTCGTTCAAAGTTAGAATTCTAGAAGAAAATTTTAAAAAATCGATGAACCCGAAATTGTGGCCATATGGTTCCTGCATTTCCCGTTTTTTAGACTTCAGCAAGAGAAGAAACCAAAGGATGAAAGATTGAGAAACTCACCAGACTCTATCTTCAAACCCAGTCTGCTCTTAGTGAATGTGGGTAGCCTTAATATATCTAAAATTAACCTTTTATATGATGATATCAATATATACCCTTCGTTAGATATTTTATGCATAGTCGAAACAGGTTTGAAGGAAGAGGAAGTGAACTTTTGTCATATAGAAGGTTACAAATTGATAAACAATTATTGTAGACCGATTAAAAAATGTGGAGGACTAGGTATCTGGGTAAAAGATGAAATAAATGCGAAAAAGGAGACAGTTAACGTTTCTGCCATAGAACAAGATTTCGAATATTGTATTATATCGATGAAAACAAATAATACCAAAACAATTTTTTTGAATGTATACAGGTCACCATCTGGAAATGTCTCAACATTTTTTGATAAACTGACGGAGGTTTTGAATTTGTTATTCAAACCAAAAATGAGAATTTTATTATGTGGGGATTTCAATTTAGATTCGTATAAGAATGATGACTATAAGAAATTATGTAGAATACTGAAAAGCTTCAACCTAACGCCTTTAGTCGGATGGCCAACTAGAGTGACACAGTACACTTGTACAATGATTGACCACATTTTTATCAATTTCAGTAATGAAGGTCTATGTTGTGTTTTCGATAATTGTATAGCTGATCATCGTTCTGTTTATTTGGAATTAGATGAAAATAGCATTGTAAGCAGCAAATCTAAGTATCGTAGGAGTTTCAATGCAGTTAATGTTGAACGATTTGAAAAGGTTTTGGTTGAGGAGGACTGGGAGCCTCTATACTGTATCGAAGACTTGAATTCAGCTTTTGAGTATTTCTATTCAATTATCCTGTATTACTTCAATCTTTACTTTCCTGAAAGGAAATATTACAGTAAACGTAAACCTAACAAGAAATGGGTAAATGATGAGGTCATAAGATCAAGCACTAATCTTAAAGACCTGAGCTTTTTATGTAAAAGATATCCTGTTCTTGAACCAGCTTATCGAGAATCAAAAAGAAGACACACTGATCTGATATCCAAAGTAAAAAAAGAATATTACCAAAATAAAATATTCAATTCAAGCAATCCATCTAGAACTGCTTGGAAAGTGATAGATGAAATATCAAATAAAAATAAAAAACACGTAAACCTAGAAATAAGGGTAGAGGATCAAGAAATACATGATCCCCATTTGATTGCCTCATCTTTCAACGGGTTTTTTACAGATGCTCCGAAAAAAATAATTGAAAACTTGACAAACAAAAATAAAACTCATGTATTAGATTGTAGAGTTATCCGATATGATTCCTTTTTCTTAACCCCTTATGGAGAAGATGAATTGGAAAAACTTCTTAAAAATAAATTGAAAAATAAAAGTTCATCAGGCTCTGATGATATACCTATGTTTTTAGTGAAAAAAATAATACCCTTTGTAAAAAAGCCACTTACTCACCTGGTGAATTTATCATTCACTTCAGGCACGTTTCCGACCTGTTTGAAAGTGGGAAAAATTATTCCAATATTTAAAAAAAAGGATCAATTATTACTTGAAAACTATAGACCAGTAACGGTCCCTCTCTCAGTCTCCAAAATTTTTGAATATGCCTTTTTATCACGTCTTGATGATTTCTTAGAAAAATTCAAAATATTAACAGAAAAACAACATGGATTTCGTGCAGGAAAATCTATTGATACCGCAATTCACTCCTTTTATAGTCAGATTATCAAATGTATTGAGGCCGCCGAGTGTCCTGTTGGGATTTTCTGTGATCTCAGCAGGGCATTCGACTGTGTCAATCATGATACTTTACTATCAAAGCTGTATGACTCTGGAATAAGAGGGCAGCCTCTAAGCTGGATATCATCTTTCTTGAAGTATAGAAAACAATTTGTCCAAATACAATATACAGATCTGACTGAAATTAAAAAATATAATTCAGACTATTCTTCAGTGGAATCGGGTGTTCCACAAGGTTCAGTGCTGGGACCTTGCCTATTTTTGCTGTATGTAAATAGCCTTGATTTATTTCTGAAAAATCAGTTTTTCACAATGTATGCAGATGATTTATCGTTAATTATCTCAAATCCGTCAGCAATAAATATTAGAACAGATATTACAAATTTATTAGAAAATACACGTGAATGGTTTGAGGAACATCAATTATTTTTCAATGCTGAAAAAACTCAATTAGCGACATTTCATAACAGACAAAAAGTATGTGATCCACTAAATATATCTATTAACAACTGTATGGTACGAGATAGTGTAGAGGCGATCAGTTTTTTGGGAATCAAGATTGATCCAACTCTCACTTGGAAACCACAATGTGAAACATTGATATCAAAACTTAATTCAATCCATTACCTTTTCAAAAATGTTAAATGTGTTCTAAATAGAGGACAAATGATGAATTTGTATTATGCACAAGTAGACTCCCGCATTAGATTTGGTATTTGTCTTTGGGGTAACTCCACTCTAGCAGCAGATGTGTTTATTTCACAAAAGCGCATTATCCGATGTATTGCTGGAGTGAAATATACTCATTCTTGTAGAAACATTTTTACAGAGTTTAGGGTATTAACGCTTACTTCTTTATATATTTTGGAAATGTCTATATACATTTTTAAAAATAGAAATAGCTTCAAACTGAATAAAGATATGCATTCAATGAATACCAGGAATAAAAATTAATTTCAGTGTGCCATTTGCAAAAATGGGTATAAGCTATAACTCACCCGAATACATGGGGTTGCGTATTTTTAATAAGTTACCTGACACGATTAAAAATATTGTCAGCTTTACCAAGTTCAGGAAAACTCTCAAGGAATTTTTAATAGATAAGTGCTTCTACCATCTGTCAGAGTACTTTGAATATTTGTCTATTCGTCTTTAATATTACCCAGTGTTTATATACTTAGTTTGTGATATATTTTTTTAAAGCTATATATGTGTTAGTATTCGTTTATATATGTATGTATACATCTTTTTGTGTATATTTATATATTTGACTATTGCTATATTACAAAACTGTAATCTTTGGCAAAATAAATGATATCTATCTATCTATCTATCCTATTTGCTTGAATAATTAATTGAACGATTCAATCAATTTCCTACGCTTGTAGAAAAAATATTGTTCCTAACTCATGCGGAAAGTTTCTTTCCCGCACTCGACTGCTTGCCCGAACTCCGCTTCGCGTCGTTCGTGTCAACGGCAGTCACGTGCGGGAAAGACTCACTTTCCGCACTTGCTAGGAAAATTAATATTACCGCACTATAGTGCTGAAGACATATACTTTTCCGCATGATTTTTGTATTGTTGAAGATATGGATTATCTGAATACTACTCATCATGATATTCAACAAAGGGGTTCCGCAATAATTGCGGTCCCCATTCAACTTTTTTACAATATTTCTCAAACATTTTTCAATAATATAAATATGCAAACATAACTTTTTTCCTCCAGTACAGGTGAGTTCTTTAGACCCATCGTTGTTGAGGGGTTTGTCTGACATTGATCTTTATTTTTCTGTCACTTTAGTATAACAATAACGCTGATGATGAAGCTGAAGCTTTAAAGCTTCGAAACATGTCCCTGTAAGATTGCTTACAATAAAGTATAGCTTTGGTGAAGTCGACTGTAAGAATTTTGTTCTGTCCTATTGCCTTCACTCCACTGTAAGATGGATCGCCTCAGATATTAGTCATAATATGAATTATTCTCATGCAATGAAGAATGTCTGCTTTTTATTTGAACATTATAGGGATTTCCTTTCGTGCGGTCCAAGCGATAAAAAAAAATAAAAAGAAAACAATGTAGTACGAATAATAAGTTATTGCAATGTTAGTCATTCGAACTTGTGAGTCTACCAGCAGAATATGAATTGAAATAGAATAAGATGATGTAGAAATAGCCAATATACCATACAGATAACCCCTAACAACGCTAAGCAATTCCATATCAGCTATTAACTCTATCCAGATAATGTTGTTGAGATCACAAAAGGGTAAGATGGAGTTATCAATTCATTATTGATTAGTTCAACAATGTTAATGACGTTCTTGTTGACTTCAAATCCTTTTGGTGATTCAACTAAGACGTTCCTGCTAACGGAAAATTCTTTCAGCATGACTGGAGTTGTACCCCATACCATCGTGACGTAACTGGGATGAGATATAAAGCAAAATAACATGATCTCATAGTTTCTATAAAAAGCTGTTTACTCAACTTACGAAGAACGAATGTTGGGCTTGATAGTTTTCGGCATAGTTCTTGAACATGACAAGACCAATTTCGTTTGTGATCAATGGCCAAACCAAGCAGTTTCACGTCATCACCTTCAACAATGTTATTGTTCGTTGAGAAAAACAGAACTGTTTACCTTCAAATCTTCACTATTCGTACTAGCATCAACCAAGGTTGTATCGTCTGCGAAAGCATCACAAGTCTTGGGATACATATTATTATGGGCATATATTGATTAGAATATGATATAATTAAATATAATTGAATATATTATATCATTACATATCTGGATAAATATATCATAAAATTATGATGATCTGAATATACCTGTAATTTGCCTAGGGAAAAATTCGAAATGAACAAATTATTCTGGAGTCAATATATTACCCTTCACAGGTACGGGAGGTGTAACATCTCCTCTCGTTATTTCTCTGGATCACCTCAAAAGCTAACAATTGTGATGTCATTCCAGTTTCACCTCCCTTCGAGACGGATTAACCAATGATCAAGCTCATTTATATAGTCAGTAGCAAACAACTTTATTCAGCCTGTATATGTTTTAACACAAGAACTATCTGCCCATGATATCAACTTTCCTCAGTTTGAACCCTATAGCAATTCAGCTCTATCTATGCTACCTACCAAAAAAGCTACAATTTCGACTAAGCTTTCTCAACTCTAATCTTGATCAAGCTTCTATATTCTGTTGATCAACACAATCACAGTTAACTCCACTAGTATTCGGATACAGTCCCTCTAGGACCATGTTTTATGACCCACAATAAAGGGGGTGTAAGGATCAGAGAGGGTCCGCTGATATAATACAGGGATTTTGTTGAATAAAATATGCGAACTGCGAAGGTATAATAGACCAAAAATTATTTAAGACCCCTATGCTGGCCAATATACTGGTCCTGTTACAAGATAATGATTATTCAGGGTATTGGATTAAGGGAAATACACTGCAAGGGTAGTGTGTTCATTAAAAGAACTAACAACTGTGATATTCCTATATAGGATTATTCCCTGATGGTCAGAGCTCTATTTTGTGGGTTGAGCTTGGCAGCAAGAGATGGACTGAGTAGCTCCAATCATTGAACTAAGTGTGACAAAAAAATAATGCATTTCTAATATTATGAGGAATAAAAATTCCTTGAATAATGGAGAAGGTGTATAAACCAACAGTGAACAGTTATAATCAATGAACAAAATGATTATAGTATATTATGTAATAAGTGTTCTAAACGTTCTTTTAGTAACGAGTATTTTAAGCACGAGCGGAGCGTGTGTTTTATAAACGAGTGTCTAGAAGAGTTTATAAACGCGTTACATACTATGCTTTTTCTAAGAACTCCGAAAATTACATTAACATACCTGCGATTCCCGCTAACCTACAAAATAATTCGAGAGGAATGGGAATTGAGAACATGAAACATGCAACTGCATGCAACCAGGAGACACGTATTGGTTGTAGATGTGTCCAGTCCATTGCTTACTAACCTTTGTTTCACGATTATTGTCATGCTTAGCGCAGAATACATGAATTGTTCTCAAAGATGGATGCTGCTTCATTTTTACACTTCTTGGAGATATGCAAGTACCAGAACATTCTCTTCAATTTCACTTTCGTCTACATTTCGCATATATTTTTGGTGAAGAATTCTGATACAAACGAATATTGTTTAAACAATTCTGATACGAAATTTGAAAATAACAGGTGACAGTTGATACAATTGACAGACCAGACATGTCTCAAATTACTGAAGCTGGGTTTAATGAACTGTGTTGCCATGGTAATGTCAAAGATTGTGTTTAAGAAATCGTGTTGCCATGGTAACGTGTTTAATATTTCGAATAAATCACAGATCGTCCATTCGTGATTAATCGATCATTAATCGTGGTACATATTCGTACGCTGAATGTCATTTTAGTTATGTGAGTAGAAAAAATAATTAAGATAGTGAAATAACGTGACTGTAGCAAAATAGTCAAAATATAGTATCGTTTGAAATCTGCGATGAGTTTGAAGCTGTTACTTACCAGGAGACTTGTATGCGCAGATGCTACTGATATTTTTCAGATATTGGTGGACACTACTATGATGCCTAGTGTGGAAAGGGATCTACTCCACTTTCGTCCTTCTAATTCAGATCATAACGCTCGCGCTTTTTCATAAAACTATATAGCTTCTGTGTTCTTCAATGTCAGTGGGACATATTTCAATTGCCGCTTGATAGTTTGACACACACACATATACATTTTCATTCTACACTATGCCGAAACCAGATCATTTAGGGTGAAATGTTAACTCATACTGAAATGTGGAATTGTGGTATATATGAACATTCTTTGATTAGGACGAGAGTACATCAAATGTCCTAGTATGCCAGATGAGGTCTTCCGGCAATCCTCAACTCGACAGTGATTATATCAGAAATGAATGGATGGATGAATATCTCATACTGCCTAGTATCAAATGTTATAAGGTGAATCCGTAGCTACACCCTTGATTTCGTCCTGTACCTACGTAAATCTAGGATACATACCTTTCTGGCGGTATAGAATGCCCTACAGTGAGAAATTTCATAATATTTCTATCTATATGCAGATGTGATAACCACCCCGAATAAACCAGAATTAGTTCTGCAACCACCGACGCAACTTCATTTTATTTTAATTATACGTTTCAGCAGATAATAATTTTCCTTTCGAGATTTGTTGTTTTAATTTCTCCAAGTATTCAACGCAAGTTGGAGAAAAAATCTGAATTTTGCATGCTAATCAGCGGACTTGATAGAAACTTCTTGATGAGTTATTTTCCTAAAATTTCTTTCATCATGAGAAAAAGCTTAGTAGCATTCTCGAGTAGAAAACTTCGAAAACAAATCGATTTTTTATTGATTCTTAAGTTGTCGAAATTTCAACCGATTCTTGCAATTCAAAAACTGCTTATCACTTCATCAGAATGCATTACTCATAATTTACTCATCAAAGTGCTGGAGCTACTACGCACCAACTGTTCTAAAACAAAGAGTGTTGCTAGAAATAGTAGATTGTTTGATTAGGATCAAAAGTGACACTTTGTTTAACTCGCAAATTTTGCAATATGTATGCAATGCAACAAATAATCCGTGGTGAGAATATTCTACCTGCGTTAACTGCAGGTTTATTCAATATTCAAGGATGTTCGAATTGTAGTTTCAATATAAAACAACCACAGAGTGACATATTTGTGTATGGACCAGGTGCTCCCATGGCAAATACCGCGCCAGTGCCAGGTATAGGAACAAGACGTGGAAAATGTAAGGTAAGTGAGCATATCAACAATAATGATAGCGATTATTTATTCCTCTCCAAACTCCACTGTGTTTGGCTTGAAAGTCAAATGAAGGTAAAAAATATTGTTGTATGAGACAAAAAACTATTGCTGGCCGTGATTATTCAAAAACAAGTTATATATCACGAGAATACCGAATGAAATACAGATCAAGCGAGTATGTGAATCTTGAAGGCTTTCCTGATCGAAACGAAAATACTTGACTTTAATGAGGTGTATTTATATCTCAAGCATGGATATGAAATGCCAAATATGCCGAAATCGGAAACAAATCAGGTATGCGTCCCAACCCAAATCTCCAACCGTAACAATGTTGTTTATTCTTGATGACCTCTAGTACATTCTTTTTAGTTCTTAGGAGCTAAAGTTCAACTTCAGCTCCGAGGAACTGAATTTGTTGCCTAGCAACATACCTATTCTTGTGTCAGTATGGGAAACGTCAAAACAAGAGCTAATTTTGGTATTAGAATGGACGACTTTTGTGTCGGTTGCAGAAAAAAACTACTTCAAGTGTTCCGAAGTTCGAAAACCGTATGGTCAGTATAGGCATAATCATATATTTTTCTCAATTAACAATGCTTTATCATGATCATAACCAGAATATGGTTATTATCGCCATTATTCAATGGTAGAAGTAACAATTCGAATATGGTTGTGCCAGTAGGTACAAACCAAAATATTATTAGGGTAACAAACTTTTCGTAGAAGCATTAACATCTTCTCAATAATCATTTATCCAAGTCTTCAATATCTTTTGAGATAAATTTTGTTGAGGAAGTTCCTGTTACTCAAGAGGCTTTTTGAGATTTAGTTGAATGTTATATTCTCCAATATACCTCTAATCTTCTTCTTCAAACATTTTCAAACAAGGTGTCACTGACTGTAGTTTTGATTTCTTCTATAGTTTTGCATAAGTGCCATTTTGAGCGCAGTGATATACAATAATTACAGTGGAATAATTTCCATATTTTCATTTATACAGACGAGAAGACAAAATCCCGAATATTTTAGAGAAAAGAATATGTGAATCTTCTTCCTGAATATGTATAGGTATATTTTTTTTCTTCGTATTGCAGTGAATGAACATCCTGCAATTCTCAAGCTACAAACTCAGAAAAATCGGGAACAATCGAAATTATTTCGCTGTTTCACCTGACTTGGAGATTCGAAAACATATTTATAGAGGAATATATAAAAAAAATATACTGAATATACTTTGAATCTGGTTTGTTTTTGTTCGATGATAATAATTTAATAACTGAAAAACTCGACCTATTGAGTGTGCAGCAAGTAATTTGAAAAAAATGTATATTATGTCAAGAAATAATGCAGCTTTAGGATGCTGCATTCAAATTCAGTATCAGTTCATTTTTTCAAAAAATCACACGAATACCATCTACCTGCTCATTATTTGTCTGCTTGATATTCCGATATTTTCGGGACGAATGCTAGAAACGCTGTTGGCTAGAATCCCGGTATACAGAAACTTGTAATGAGTTTAGTTATAATTGTAACTTGTAACTCACAGACACGTAATTAAATAGAATCGTCGAAACTTCGTAAGAATAATACCTTAATTGCTGCCGGTGTACTGCATTTCAATATCGGGTGAGGCATGGTGGATTTAGTTGAAGGAAACCTAGTTTTCTCTTTTCCTCGCGGATATCGGGAATATTTTCTCGATAAAGGCCATTCTGGCGTGTAAACATTGACACACATTGACAACTTACACAGCGCTCTATTACTGCTGTATGCTGATGACTCAATCATATAATGGTTCAAAAATTGATCCTGCTTGCAAATTGGAAACTCTGAAAGAGTTTTCATCAGAGAATAAGTTAACGGTCAAAAATCAAAAAACAAATCATGCGGTAGGAGTGGATACCATTTCAATTACAATTATAAGCCGTTTTTTTCTACTCACATATCTATAAATGTCATTTAGCGTGTAGATATGTACCACGCTAAATGAAGGATTAATCACAGATGGGCGATCTGTGATTCGTTCAAAAAATTAAACACGTTACCATGGCAACACAATTTTCTAAACACACCTTCAGTTATTTAAGTTCTCTCCGGCCTGTGAGTTGTGGGAACTGTCAACTGTCATTCCAGAATTTTGTTGCAATAGGAATTATTCAAACAATCACGATTCGTGAGAATGAATACTGAAGAAGTATGTTCAGTTTGTAATCTCCACAGACCATCAGATTCTTTGAAATACATTGTATTTGAATATCCAGTTCATGCTGGTATCAGGGATTGTCGATTATTTTAAGATATCAAATCTCTAGATGTTTTGATATATCTTTCTAAATCATTGTGGCCTCTATAGCTTACTTGAAATTCCTAGTACAGGTTCTGTTCAATATGTTCGAGCTTACATATTTTGTTCCTGATGATTAATTTGCATATCAACTATTATTTCAATGTCCTCATTGGTAGATTAAATCATGGTCACGTATTTAGGAAGTATTTTCGTTTTAGCTATTAGTTCTCATGTATTCACTCATTATAGATTACACAACTCTTGTGATAATTATTGTTATTCTTTCTAGTAGGAAAATGATTTCCAATCGTATCGGAGCAATGTTCTTTTTTACACCACATTTTCATTATCGATGGAAGTGACGTCACTCTCTGATGCATCGAATCGTTGGAGTCATCAGTGTTGAAAAAAAACGCAAACTGTTTTTTCCTTTCTTCATTTCTATTTTCGTGAATTGATGGGGATTCAAAATGTTTTCGATTAGAAGCTCAGAATTGGCGAAAACTAATGTGAAATGGAAAAGTATGTATTAAAAGTGTTATTGGAGTCCTTGTCTCCAGATCCAGAAGTTCTAGCAGTTCTTCTAATAGTTTCGAAGAAATATTGTGTAATTATGTTGGTAAATTGAAAATCTTCTAGAACCTATATACAGAACATTGCATTGAATTGTGATGATGAATGTTTGCACTAATTTCTTGAAATCCAGGATGGGTAAGAAAAAAGTACCTACGACTCGAAATTTCTTCAATTTCTGTTGGTGTCAATAATGCAGCTATTCTTTCATTTTTATATTCTAGCCCGATTTCCATTTATTCATCCATATTTTGTCTTAGGCAAATGGCAAACAGCTTTCAAATCCAATTTTTTGTTATTAGGTTTTTGAGGTCATGCTGCCGCTGTCATTTCGAAAGCCACCAAAAATTCGTCCACCTTCTCTGTACATCGGCGGAATGGTTTGCAATTTTGGTTGATACAACAATAATAAATGATCGCGTGGTTACGTCAAACTGGAATCCACCAAAGAATAAATGAATGCAGTTGGTGAATTGATAGAGCCACCGGTGAATAAGAGAACGTCACTAAAATATTGGTTATTCTTGCACTCTCCAAACGAAAAAACGAATTATGACATGAGGTTGGGATTGAAGACTTGAATTTCGTGATATCTTTCAACCACCTGAACATTGAATACCAAACATTTTGATCTTGACCCAATCGAAAAATCATCCCAAACAACTTTAGGATATATATTGATGGATACCTTCAACCTCAAAATGAAGGAAGGAAACTTCACTCACCTTGTAGATTCAGAGTGAATTCAGGGAATCGTCTTGTTGCCCATTCTTGATGTTTTTCGGCCTAATTTCTATCGCCAAAGTTACACGCTCCGTTAGTCCAGGGCCTGAGGACGTGCCCAACGTACCAATGGGGCACCTGGGGCGTCTCTTTAACTGCCCCAATTCCGTATGCTGCAAGAGTAAGGACTAGTTTATCTCCGGCTCACTGGTCCGCAGTTTTCACCCCGGTTGCTGGATATGACGAATAGTGCATTGCGGAAGAAGTAAATTTGCACTTATCATGCGATATAGCGGGTGACAAAGGAGACATGTAACAGTCTGTAGCTCCTTTATTTGAAAGATGAAGAATTGAAATTCACAAGGGATATATTATCGATGATGGCGCTTCCCTTGAACCTAATGACAATTTTCTTCAACCACCTGGTTGATCGGAAATAGACCCGACTTTTTTTTTCAAATGGCTCCCGTATATTTTTGCCTCGAAATTCTCTATTCAACTATGTATCACAATTTCATATTCGTTTATTAATTGGCTGTTGAATTGCATTCTATTGAAATACATGAAGTTGGCTAATTGGTCCAAGAAGATTGCCA